GCAATTTCTTCAGATAAAATGACAGATCTAGTCCTCCAGCTTTTATATCCCATAACGTAAGAGTCATTCATTTGGATCCAAAAGGAGCCATTCTTCTTTTACTTCAGTCCCTCAACTTTCAAAAGATATTTAATTAGTCACAAAACTCTTATTATTATGTATTTAAATCCTTTTTGCACGAAGAATTAAAACTTTTTAAATTTTTTAAAATCACAAATTGCAAACAGTAATACAATCAATGTTAAGATAACAGATTAAAGTAGATAAAATGCTTTTAAAAAATATAAGCATAATTAAAAATTTGTAATAACATATTTGAATTAAGAAAAATAAAGTGAGAGGGTAAAAATATGGAACTTGATTAAAAAAATATATATATATAATAAGAGAGGGGAGGAAAAAAAATTCTGGTAGTAAGGGTATACTTACAATTGTAAAAATCATAGGTATAAGTTAGTGTTATAATTATATATGATTGAAGGTATATCTATTATGTATACCTACGGTTTTTTATATCTATAAGTAAATATTAAATTCATATATTCACGAATTACATATTATAACTAATAATTCTTTTATATACCTACACCAATTGAAATTGCGTAGGTATAATATAATTTTTCCTACGGTTGTTTTGTTGATGTAGCTATAACTTATCTATATGCCCACAAATTACATATTGTAACTAATAGTTCATTTATATACCTACACCAATTGAAATTGCGTATGTATAGTGTAATTTTTCCTACGATTTTTTTGTGGATGTAGCTATAACTTATCCATATACCCATAAATTATAAATCATAACTAATAAAACCTTATACCTATAAAATAGCGAGCATAAGTAAAAAAAAGCGTAGCTAAATGACAAAAATGCTGTAGTGAACTTGATAAACTCAGACAATCTAAAAAATCAAAATATCAAATTTAAACTAAATCAATCATGAAAAAGGAATAAATTCATATTACAAACAATGGAACAGATACAGCATGGGAAGACAAAAACATATCGG